GTTTCTAACCCGGGAAGCTCATGTACATGTCTCATGTGAGATGAAAGAAATCCAGATCGATGCAGTGAGGTATTTGAGCTCTACATCTGCACCAGACCAATACCTCCAACACGACCATCATGGTGCACCTCAATGCAGATCCTCAGCCTCATGAAAAAGAGCAACTGGGACAGAAGTGAACAGAATATTAATCGGCGGTTCATACAAGGAAGAACATATGAAAAGAAGTTAGGCAACCTGGGCTATTTGTGAAGCTTACCTCTCTTCTCACTTTTTTCCATATTAAAAAATTGTATTTCTAACTAGACCTCTTTCCGGCCCTTGTAAAATCCATTGGTTTCTATTACTTCTACTTTCTCCCATTACCTTTCCTATCTCCTTTTTACAAGAAAAGATTTATATTCACTTGGTTTTATTTGGATCCACGTGCTTATTTTTAAGGACTGCTTTTCATGAGGATATTTACTAACCACAGAAATTCCAGCACATCTGCACAGCAGTCTGCAGCAGTGTTTTATGTGTCTCATGTCTGCAGAAGTGATTTATGGCAACCTGCTCTTACTACAGATTAACAAGTACAAGCCTTCGATTCTTCAGTATTTTTTTTTTCGCTTCTTAAGTGTTCCTACATCTCTCTACAAGTTATGAATAGTTATAATGCCTTCTGCTTTCTTGGTTCTCACACAATACAACCTCACTCAACTATAGATTACTTTACCTTATTTCTGGATCACATTTACAGATGGCATTGGAACAAAGCAATAAAAGATCTCCCTTGCTGAATGTAATTTCAAAGTGCCCAGGTCTGAGTTTGCACAGTCTTAGTAAAAGCTGCAGAGAAGATCTCCTATTGCAGAATGGAAATATAATTCTTATCTCAAAATAAAAGATATCTGGATTCTCATGGACAAAGGCATTGCCTTTTCTGACATACTGTACTCCACCCAATGAGTCTGATTTTGTTATATACTTAGTTAAATTAGCCAGGACTTTGCGCTTATACAGACAATCTTCTATGACAGGGAAATGCATTGATTATAAAGAAACAGGAATGATCATTATCTACACATTTCCCAAATGTTTTTCCTTTTTTTTGCCACACAAAGACATGCAAATTCCTTCTTACATTTTAATGGGATGTTTTGGAAAAATGATACCTGAGAGTTGACAGGTGTCCCCTTAAAGTGATTTGGTGCAATTAATCACGAGAAAAAACACTGCTAATACTTTCTGCTTAAGATTAGCAACTGACACTTTGAAAGATGAGCAACCTCTGTGCTCTATCATCAGCTGCTTCTGTATCATCATGAGGATTCAAGAAATTATAAGAGGATATTGATGTAAGGCAGTATGAGGTCATAATTAGGAAGTTTATCTTTAATTATGTTTTTAATGCATACACAGAATATTAAAGCTTTATGAATGCAGCTAAGGCAGTTCCAGTAATGGCCCATCAAACACTTCTGACAATTTTAAAATTCATACTAATGTGCCATGTCTCTGATCTTTACTGCTAAAACTTCCTCTTGGTTTGTGTCATTACAGACTTCAATACAAACAAGCTGCAAGATCACAGACTCTGCTTTCTGTGAATGCATATCAATTAATGGACAATTCAGACGATCGCTGGGTGTTCCGTTTCAGTCATGAGGAAGAAAGGCAGCAGAAAACAAATCCACAAAAATTATTTGTATCCACTGACGCCCTGAAGAATGTATTAGTTTGCTATCCTGAGAGCCTGACTGCTTTACTTGAAGTAAAAAATTGCTATCCTAATGATTTACACTACAGTTTTCCTTTTTCTTAGGAGTGTATGAACAGGCTTTGATTTGGACTTGGACCAACCAAATTCCTTTTTTCAATAGACAATTGTGTGTAAAAATATAATTTACTGTGCAGTAAATATAAATACATATTTACTTGTGCAATAGCATAAGATTAAATTTCTCCTCTCTTCTTCTTCCTCCTACCTTTCAACAGTAATGCAAAAGCAATGAACTGGAATATTTACATCCAGACATTTTAAAATAGCATGAGTCAGTTTTGAATGCAACTGTGAATTAACTTTATGAACCGAGAAGATGCTGTAGGAGGAGATGCTGTAACAGGTAGGTATTTCCCTATTTGTCAGCACTTTGGACTCTGCATGAGATATTAAAGCAGAGCTGGGGTATTTCCATTTTCTGCATTAGCCTTTAAAAGTATTCTGCAAGCCAAATTAGACTCGTGACAATAACTGCACAACGTTACTGCCCTCCAAAAGTGTGGCACAATTGTGACTGATCAGGTGTTAACAGACAGTTCTGCTGGTAATAGACTTAAAGGAATAAAACCCTGTTTGTCTTTAGCTGTATTGGCTTATGGGGGTGAAGAAGGATAGAAGATGGGTTTTTAATCCCTCAGAGAAAAGATATGACACCAAGATCAAATCTATTCACATTACTAAAAATCTGTATTTAAGTCTATTTTGTAGATTATGTTACCATTACATATTCAATGAAGGCAAATCTGCATTTATCATAATGTAGTGCAGGAAATTGAGAAAAGTCTTCAGTCTCCTAGGCTAAACACTTCATCTGTCATAGGCAGAACTGCACTTGCTCAGAGAGGTGGAATGAATGATCATTGAAAGTTTTTCCTGGATCCTCAGATTTGGTCTGCTGATCTCAAGAACTGATAAATCAGAGAAACAGACACAGCTGAAATCCAGAAGATACATAAAGCACTTACAGGCCAATATACCTGAGCTCCAATTGTGGCTCTCCCAGGAATAACTAACCCTACATCGCAAATGTGACTTTCACAACTTATCCATGGGGTAATAATACTTATCCACCTCACACCTAGCTGTGTTGTGGAGTAACATAATGCTTGCATGTACATGACTGTGAGGCTCTGTAAGATTTATGGAACTTTCCTAAACATTCCTAAAAGCTTGAGAAAATAACAGTAATAGGATTAAAAATAAATAGAAGAATATAAATACAAATAAATAGAAGAAGAATTTAAATAAAAATAGTATGAAAAAAATCAAACCCTATGCAGGAAAAAAGTATTTTTTACTTTCAGTCACAAAAGTTATCCTCATTCACACTCAGCCTTCCAGGCCAATTTAAAAAGCTATATATGTATTCACTGAGTTTAGTACAGACCCATTGACTAGCTTCCAATCCCAGCTTACAATTCACTCGACAGAGGTGCAGAGAGGTCAAGCAATTTGCACAAAGTCACACAAAAATTTACTTGCTCAGCCAAGACCGAAGATCAACATCTTGTTTCCTCCTCTCCCTCCCAATTTCTACCCTCCCCATACAACATTCCTAACACATCAGTGCCACAATACTCAGAAACAAGGAGCAGAAGAAACAATACTTGGAGGGGGAATCTACATTTTTTCCTTAATTTGTCATAGACAAACCATGCCCAGTCTGCTTCTGTCACTGTAGCATAAGAAAAAGCTACCTTTAAAAAGCGTGTCTTCCTGCTCCTGAAGCTTTCGGATTTAGTCCTTCAACATCTGGTAGGGATGTAACATGAAGAGTGGGCATGTAGCAGTAGTATGTGCAGAGTAGTTACTTTTCTGTAGAAAACTTAGTTCTAACTTCCTCATTTTTTGTGCAATTATAATCTCAGTCTTACAGTGTAAGAGTATAATTCTTGTTTTTAATATGTAATATGCTGATACAGCATCACATGTTCTCTTAACTGCCAAATTAAGTTTAAACTAATCTTAGTTTAAACTAAGAAATTATTAGCTTTTGTCTGTCTGTTTACCACTTGCTTTAATTCAGTTATTGTTATCTAAATAATGCTTTTCAAAGACTTAGCATCTACAAGCCCTATTGTAAACACCTGTGTAATCTGTACCCTGCTGAGGTTGGCAGTGCTGATTTGTCAATGTTTATTTGCAGCAGGCTGTAGCTAAACCCTGGCAGATGTAAATCATCTTTTTGTACTACTGCTTGCTGTTTCAGTTGCAAATGCTTCTTTTTTTCTTAGTTTAACACTCACATCAAGAAAGCTAGAAGATTCCAGGAAAATTTAAAAAACCCTAGAATTACCTATTGTGAGACTTAAAAGAATCTCCCAAACCCATCTGGATGCCACCCTGTGCCACGTGCTCTGGGTGTCCCTGCTTGGACAGGGGGGTTGGACTAGATCATCTCTAGGGGTCCCTTCCAACCTCAACCATTCTGTGATTCTATGATTTAGCAAGTGATTAAGTTAACACTGAGAAAATATAACAAGTGGTCTCCATAGGAAGTTTGTAGTGTGATCAGAACGGGTGATTGCAAAGTGACGCCTCAGTCTTGTCAACTTAAGCAGCAACTGCAGCAGCAATGCTGAAAAACAAGGCTGTTAACACAGCCCAAGTTCATCTTCAGCTCATTTAGAAACATGGGTTTTAATGGGGAGCGTACTCTTCGCTAAAGCCTGTGCTGCTTGGCTGCTGTCCAAATTTGGCAGGCTGAAAGGTATATGGGAGCCAAAACACAGGTCCAGTTATAACCGCCCACTTCCCATAGGCTGAAGGCCACAAAAATCTATTCCTTCCATGCCAGCATCTTCCTGAGATCCAAGCTGGAAGATTCCAAACACAGGCACACAAGTATTTCTGTAGCAGCATTACAATATTTTCACTATGTTCTTTCATGACATTGATGGTATGTCCTAACATTGCTTGTTTTTAACTACATTGATCACCAGATCTCTGCACAATATTGTTTCATTAAAAAGACTGCAGAGAGGCCAGCATTCATTTTTATAAAGAGTGCTAAAACAATAGAGTATTCAGCGACAGGTGAGGTTATCAATCCAGCAATGACAACACTTCGATTATTCATAAATTATATAAAGTAAAAAATATAAACTGTCTTTTCTAGGCTGTTAGCAGAATTGCTTATTTTGCCTGTAATGTAACTGCTGCTATTGCAGAACCAAAAATTGCTCATCTCTTTAGCTGTGACTGAGTGGCTTCTGTATGCTCCAGACTCCCTTACCTTGAGTGAGCAAGAGCTTTACTAAGAGTCTTCAGTTCCCTTCCTGTCTGTCTGAACGGGGTGAGCATCTTCATCGATTCTGGTGGACGAGACTGAAAAAGATCAAACTGAAAATAAACGATATGATAGTAAGGAAAGCTTAGCATAAGAGAGGATAGGGCAATCGTAAGAGTTTGGTTTCAATCACTAAACATTTTCCAAAATGGTCCTTTTCTGTGATGGCATTGTGACATTTCACAAACATGTTAGTAAAGTATATATCATACAGCTGTGCATGCATGTATGTGTGCATATGTTCCAATAGGTATTTTTCAGCATTGGCATCCTGAACCAAAACTCTATCAGTAGTAGAACAAGAGAGTCTCACCCACAGATTCAAAAATAATTTCTTAGTAGTAACTTCATCCTCTTCTTCTGGTGATCCTTCTTGCACATCTCTTTTCACTGGTTCCTAGAAAATGAATAAAAAAAATTCTCCTAGCTACCTGTATAGGGACAGGCCATAATCTGCAAAATTAAATGGTGCAAACAGATTTCCCTACGGATATGCAACCCAAAGCAAAAATAATGTCTAATCTTATGCAGAAGCGCTTAAAATGTCACTGAGTAACTCTGGCATACAGATATACTCTCATACAGCATGCACAGACAAACCACTGGGCAAAATGTATGTATACTTTTTAAAATTCCTTACTTTCAAAATTACTAAGCTTGAATAGTTAAAAAATATAACTTTTGTCTTGGAAGACTGCTGGATAGACTATTCTGTCTAACATAAAAAGAAAATCCAATTTCCACAACCAGGAACAGGAAATGATTTACTTGTAATAACTCTTCCCTGAAGATATACCCTGTGATAGATCACTATTCTTGGCTCTGTGCTTTCCCTCACAAGGAAGGCACAGACTCCTGAAAGCCCTGGAGCCAGACACAAGAACACTTTTAGTCTCCTCCAACCAGCAGTTTATTCAAGTGGAATAATATTCCCTTCTCTACAAAAAAGAATATATAGGTAGATTAATAAAAGACTGCAGAACACAGGTGTACATGGTGCTGAGACTAAGAGGATATGAAAATAGCGATTCCTTCCTGCACTACTTTTAAATCAGAGAGCTCGTATATTCACTCTAAGCAAAGCGAAGCTCAGCTGGCTGCCCTAGCTATACACATCCATACCACGGAGCTAGCAGGGCTGCTGGATCATGAACGCCAGAAGACTCTGCACAACAAACTACTTACTACCCAGTATAGCTGTAGCATGGCAAATTAACAACCAGTGTGAAAAATCATGTTACTTAGTGCAGAGTATTTTGCTTCCTGCAATCTTGGTTAGACAGGCAATTCTTACCAAACTTATATTTCCATGTAATTATTTCAACAGGATAAAGACCAAAAGTGTGAGGAGCATTATCCCCAGCCACTGGGAAACTGCAGACACCAATGTTCTCATGTAGTGACCAAGGCAAGCCACAACAAATAGAAAATTAAAACATTAAATACAGAAATGGTACTGAGGGCAAAGCAGCTGGAATAGAAAGAAGATATTCTACAGATAAGGTGTAAAGCTGATCGAATGAGACATCAAAGACAGGAGACCAAAGGCTCTGCTGTTTCTTGCAGCTGGGATGCTCTTGACCAAGGCTCAGCAGCAGATAGATGACACTATTATAATGAATCAGGAGTTTCACAGAGCAACATGCTACTTAAGAGAAGGAAGAGTGTTGGAATGCAGCCATATGTTTCAGTGGCTTGTAACTATGAGCACCAGTGCAGGCTCTGGAGCCACCCAGTCCCCTGCTCTGCCCGAGTGTTCAGTGCTGCAGAGCACCGTGAGAAACCGATTCCCACCACAACTTCCTCCAGAGATTTCTGGGTTTGCTGGAAGAAGAGAGATTGTGACCAACCTTTTGCAAGGCGTGACATTATCCTACTGCCGACCAGCCAGTTCTTCTAATTTGTGAGGAATGAATAAAAGAGCCTTTATAGAGTTGCTCAGACAGAAAGAGGTATCACATATGTCACCTCTGCCATCTATGCACTGATAATGGGATCCAGTCAGGCTTATTAGTGAAAACAGAAAGGAACAAATACAACTTTGTCTTTTATTGCAGTGTTGTGCATTGAAAAGGTGCACTCTGAGCTCAAAATGGTATCTGTACATAATGATGTAATTTTAACTTTTCTATTTGCAGTGTAGAGATAAGGAAACCGAGAGAAAGCAATAGTGGTAGGTGTCATCTTTATGCCTGTGGATTACCAGTATGATCTGAACAGTCTCTGCAGAAGTCATGAGTGGCCTTTGGGTCTGGGGTGCTTTTAGAGTGTCTCACTTCAGGAGATTTGCGTCACAGTTCATGTGATTTGCTTTTCAAATATCAAAAGTTTGGTCTCAGTGAACATTTCCTGCCTTCAGTACAGCAAAGTAACAGAACACCTTTCAATTCCATACATATGAAACAACAATAATGAAAAACATACAAACAATCATAAAACAATATATGAAATACGTCCCAGAATGAGCTTACCTGAGAAAATGACCCAATATTTTTCCATGAAAATGATTAAGGTCATTTTTCTTCAGATGAGGCACACTAGCTACAGGTAAAATGAACTACAGAAATGCTGCAGTAGGTGGAGCTCGATGCCATCGGATGGTCTCCTGCAGAGCCAGAGGT